GGATCTTATCAGGCCAGGACCCAGAGCCCCTAATGCTGAGGGGAAGAATGGAAGGAGAAAGGAAGAAGCTGGGGTTAGACCCCTTTCCGCGGGGCCAGAAAGGACAGAACAGCTAAGGAAAAAAGAAAGAAAGAGAGAGAGAAAGAAAGAAATTCCCTCTGATGAACAGCCTCCACAATCATGTACCCTTTCGACTGCTAATTTTTGTTTTCTTTTCTTTTCCGCGGAAACTCTTCACTGTTCATCTTTCTGTTTTTGTTCTCTCAGCTCTTGCTGCTTTTCTTCCATCTGTTTTTCGTAGTCGATCTTGGCCTTTCTTTCCTTTTCAAGCAGGTGTGTCTCTGTACTAGCTGCAATATCCCAAATACATTTTTAAGGTGTAAGAGCCAAGAATATATTTTGAATTTTCCACATTACACACACAGAAGGAAAAGGTTAGTATAGCCCATTCTTCTTCTTAAAATAACACAACCTGTACTTGTCACTAAAAATTTATTATGTTGGGACGTGGCAGTTATGTCACTGGATTCCCACGTGGCAGACTGCAGTTTGAAGTCTGGACCCTGTGGCTTCAAACTCACACCAGGTGAGTGCGTGTGTATGCCCAAGATCCCAGGAGGAGAACGGAAGAAAAGGGACTGTGGCATGGCCATCCTCCCACGAGGGTGATTTCTTGTTTTCTGTCTGTCTGTCCGGTGAGCACATGAACCCTATAGAAAAATCTCTCTCTCAAAAAAAAAATTATGATGTGTGTGAACAGCAGTGGCCATTAAGGAACCATTTTCATTGGGTGTTCATTTCATTCTGGAAAACTGAGGGGTGGCCGGTTAGCTCAGTTGGTTAGAGCGTGGTGCTGATAATTCGGGAAAACGGGTTGTCTAACCCAGATGCTCTCATCCTGTCTAAATTAAAGTTCCAAATTAGGAATAATTCTTACACATGCTATTTCTGTTGATTTGAGCTGAAGTCAAACTGTACCTATTGAACACGCTATACATTAAAATATGAGTTTAAAAATAACCACATGGAAAAAATGTGTGTTTTGTTTCTTTTTCTAGGAAACTTCTTTGAAAGTCTCACCCATAGCAGATCATATCAAGTATTCTGTTTTTACACTGATGAACTTAAGCATAGATCACATTACAGACCAACAATGTTTTCCTATATTCAAATTTTTTTACTAAAGCTTAGAGAGCATCTATGCAGTTGTAAAAGACTCCCCCAAAGACAGTATTCCTTACTTCCATTTCTTCTTCATCAAAACAAAGATAATTGGGACCAGCAGATGGCATAATGGTTACGTTGCTGGACTCCCACATAGTTGACTGAAGTTCGAGTTTGGACCCAGCAGCTTAAAACTCACGCCAGGTGCATGTGCATATGTGTGCAAGATCATGAGAGGAGAATGAGGAGAAGAGATTGCAGTGTGGCCACCTTCCCAGGGGGGGTGTTTTCTCACTTTTTGTCTCTGTCTCAGTGAGCACACACGCGCTATAGTAAAAATTTCTCTTTAAAAACAAACAAACAAAACAAAGATAATTAAGAGTTGACTCAGAGGTACAATGGTTGTGCATTGTGTAGAGGAAGCTAAATCCCACATGGCCAACAGGGGTTTGAGTCCAGGTCCTTCAGCTTCATGCTTGGCACACACATGCACCCAAGGATCCTGACAGAATGGAGAATTGGAGGGAACAAGGTTGCAGCATGACCAGGCCCCACTGGGAACTCCTTCCCCACCCTTCTCTCACATGTGCATGCACTCATCTCTAGCATTACAAAAAAAGATAATTTATATTCCATTTGAATTAAGTTGAGCGCTAGTTTCGTTAGGAGATAAAAGATGGAAAGATACATCACTGAAAAGCACGTTCTCAAGCTGCAGGAAGATGATGGCTTAGATTCTAATTTACATAAAGTCACACTGCAAAAGCATGGCAATCAGTAAAAAGATACCTTAACTGTGTTAGGATTATTAGCCATTTACTTTCACTTTTTTGTTTTTACAAATATTGCAAAAATGTTCACACCTTAGTTATCAGAAAATTAAAGCTAACAGAAATGACTCTAAAAATGAAACAATTTAGTCCAAGATTTTTCATGGGCCTTCTTTACCTGACTTAGTAACGGGATGTAATCCAATGTAATACATAATGTAAAAGTATAGCCTCTCATCTAAACAGATGAGCAAAAGCAAGTAAAACCCCTTTGGAAGTATATCGCCTTAGCATAAAATTAATTCACTTGGCTTTTTTTTTGAGAGGTTTTCACTATAGGGCGCATGCGTTCTCCAGACAGACAGAGAGAGACACAGAGACAGAAAGTGGGAAATCACCCCCCAGGGGGGATGGTCACGCCGCAATCCCCTCTCCTCCATTCTCCTCTCGGGATCTTGGGCATGCACGCACACGCGCCCGGCGTGAGTTTTAAGCCACCAGGTCCGAGATGTGAACCGCGGTCGACTACGTGGGAGTCCAACGACACAGCCATTACGCCAACTGCTGGTTCCCTCACTTGGATTTTTTTAAAAGCCTCTAATATACCTTCTTGCTGCTTCCTTCTTTCCTCTCTGCGCTCTTTGGCCAATTGTTGTTTGAGATCATCTCTAAGTATAGATCCATCGTCCACATCTATAAATACGTACATAGAGTTAGACATTATAGGATATCACATTTTACAGATCTGATACTTTGACATCTAGCAAAGCAGCACAGAAACCATACCAGATTGAAATGTTGATCTCCTTGATGACGAGTGGAATGCAACTGAGCTCCTTCTCCTTTGATTCTGCTTCTCCCTGGCAATGGTGTAAGCCGCAGCAACTGAAACACAGGGCGATAACAGAGAGGGATTAGACATGAGGAATACAAACAGCTAATACAGGAGTTCGGAAGACTCGAACAGAAAACGGCAAATGTTTACTGTGGATGTCCCAGGGTGTTTGTGTGCGGAAAGATGATTTGAGTCGTTAGCGGCAGTGGCAGCACGAGCTTGTGGATGAATGGGCACCTACAATTCACAGCTTTCAGCAATATCTCAGAGGACGCATGACACCAAGTATTAGAGAGAGAGAGCTAGCAAGGAACTGGAAAAACATTTGCCATGAACTGGGAATTTAGAAAACAAAAGGTTATGAATTTATAGATCTGGGGCCAGCAGGTGGCATGGTGGTCAAGTCGCTGTACTCCCACGTGACCGACTACAGTTCCAGTCCTGGACCTGATGGCTTCCTTTCTCAATTTCCCTCTCTCTCTCCCTGTCTGGTCAAACTGAAAAAATTAAATTAAATAAAGCAATTCTTTTTAAAAAATTAAACTTTAAAAGAAATGTATAAATCTGAATCTGGAAGGAACATGTTAGCAGTGAGATTCTCATATCAGGCCCAGTAGGAGAGAGTACTAGTTTGTACACTACCTAGATAGGGCTTTACACTCTGTTGACACACTAGTCACCTAAATCCCTTCAAAGAAATTTGGAATGTATGTTCTCCTCCACCACCCACCACCTAGTCTGCATCCACAGTTGTTTTTTATTTATTGTATTATTTCGTAAAATTTTATACATCTCTTCACTATACATCACTCTGCTTGTAAGTTGAATTTACCCAACATGAATACGCTTCACACCAGTCCAGTTGAGGATACAAAACTTATTATCATCAACGGATAATAACCTATTTCTGTGTACCATAAATGTCTTGCCTCTCTATTTTCCTCCTTGTTAAGAGCTCTATTCTGACACACAGTGAACTTAGAGGGAGAACCTCTATAGAAGGAACCTCCAATGAAATAATATTCTAGGTGGAAAAATGTCAAGTGAACAGCTGAGAATTATCCAAAGTGTTAACACAGGTCGTGTGCAAACAGGCAGGAAAGTTATAAACTTCAAGAGGATGAAGTAAGATCAGGGGGAACACAATTTAAGGAAAAGTAAGGGAATCTAAAATTCCAAGATAATATGCACAGAAGTCATTATAAGGGTCCCTGAGCCCTTTCATTTCACATAGGGCTATATCAAAAATGCCCCATGATACTGGACATATTCGGGAAGGGTATGGAGAATGACACTGAAAACTGACTCTGCTCTACCCTCGTATAAAAGCACAGGAAATAAGCCCGTGCCATACGATAACCAAGTCTGGTTTGCATCTATCTAGAAAAATATGACAGGGGCCAGCAGGTGGTGTAGTGGTTAAGGCGCTGGACTCACACATGACCGACTGTGGTTCAGGTCTTGGACCTGGTGGCTTGAAAAATCACACTAGGCGTGCATGCCTGTGTGCCCCAAATCTCACTAGGAAAATGGACGAGAAGGGATTGCAGTGTGGTCATTCACTGGGAGATGATTTCTCACTTTCCCTCTGTCTTTCTTGGGCAAGCGTATGCGCTCTATGGCAAAAACCTTTTCAAAAAATAAGACAGTTGGTGGGGCTGGCAGGTGGAGTGTGGTTAAGGATGCTGGACTCCCACATGGCCGACGGCGGTACTAGTCCCAGACCTGGTGGCTTGCTTTCTCATTTTCTTTCTCTCTCATTCTTCTCCTCTCTGGTCAAGTGAAAATAAATAAGTAAATAAAGAAAGTTAAATAAAATAATTAAAAAAAATGACAGTTGAAGATGGGCAGTTAAAATAATTAAGGGAATAAACAGAGGGGCCATCCTTCCCTGCACTTCATAGAGTGAATGGACTCTGAGACATTACTTATCACTGAGGAAAGATACCTGAGAGTTACTTTACAGTGCAACCTTGAGAGTGACATCATGATCGTTGCCATAGAGATCACTATAGTTTCAAAAGAGAAAAAGCACTTTTTTTTTCCCCCAGAGACCTAACAACTCTGATAATCTATTACCTAGCTAAACCTGAAGATTAGATCTTTCTCAGCTTCCTTAATAACTCAACTACTGGCAATTATCTTCTGAACTTGAACTTAGTGTACTAACAAAAATCTAGTCTATGAATTAAACCCTTTCACTAACCCTCACTTGCAACATTTCTACGTGAGCACAGGAAAAAATAAAGTATGTTGTGGTATTGTTTTCACACATCTTAGTGTCCTGCTTAAAAGACCTAAGGGTAATTCGTAGTTTACACAATTTAGTCGACCATAAGGACTCTCAAAATGTACAATTTTACCAGATTATTTAAAGACCTTATTAGATAGAGATAACCTTAGAAGTAGCTGTGGTGGTAAGAATGAACCATAGCATACAGAGGTTAATATGGTTAATGATACCAAATCTGATTTCACACCCTTACGTCCAAATTCCTACAGGCAGGAAATCTTTTCACTAAAATGACAGACTTTAAAAATGATTTTAAATGTCCAGACAATGGGAGAAAGCCTTCATCTCTGGACTTAATAGAATGAACACCTTACTGAATTTCACTGAATGAGAGAATTTATTTAAGAGTTAAAATGAACAATAAAGTGTAGTAAGTATATTTCAGTAGTTCTTATACTAATTCTAAACCCTAAATTAAAGCATCTTTTGTCTGGAGATTAAATAAGAAAAGGTGTAGTTTATTGCTAAAACTTGATTAGGAATCTTAATCTATATTAATGGTATTTTTAAAATATTGCCACAACAAACATTAGATATCATTTCACCACTTATGAAGTTCATTTGGATTACTTCATCTAATTCTTACCATAATCCTATAAAGTGGGCATTATTATGTTTCCAATTGTTTTGGATAAAGTTTTGTTTCAAAACTGAAGTTTAAAAAACTTTATCACACAGACAGTAAGTAGTGAAGTCTGAATCTGATGTAATTGTACATTAATAATTAAAAAGCAACTTTATTTTGAAAAATAAGTGTATTGAGGGAAAAAAAAAAACAGGAAAGAAAAGAAACCTGCAGTCACTGAACCACAAAAATAAGGCAGATTGGGACCAGCAGTTGGCATAATGGCTATGTCGCTGGACTCCCACGTAGTCGACCGCAGTTCGAGTCC